ACCCACCAACCTACTTACATTCCGTTACGATTTGAAGTTTATGAGCAATCCGAAGAAAATACCACACATCCCAGTGACACAATAACACAGACGAACGGGAACAGTTTCAGCCTTTTTCAGCTCTATCTAAGAATGGCTTTAAAAAGTATGACTGTCGAACAAACTGTTCTGTTTTAGAAAAAAAAAACACACCAAAAAAAACACACAAACTCATGGATGGCTCATGCCTCTTAAGACATAGAACATCTATTTCAGACGCCAGTTCTTCCAGTTTAACACAACGCGCGTTATCGATCGGGTGTTGAGACTGGCTTCAGGCTTCAGCCAACCGAATACGGGAACAGGAAAGTGAGGAAAGCCAGCAGACCTCGCCCAGCCCGAGCCGTAGGGCACTTTATCTCGGGTTCGATTTTACTTTTGTTTTCTTTCCTTTTTCAAAAATATACTCTACTTAAAGGAAAAAGAGTTGCGAACAACGTTTGACAGGATCTGATAGATTAAACATTTACAGCCGGTAGTGAGTAATTGTTTGTTTTAGTAAGCGTTATACGGCACTTGCAACAAAATAAGGTCAAATCATGAGCGCCAGAAGATTAGAGGTGTTACGACAGAGTAACAAACACAAAAAAGAAGGAGGGGAGATAAGGACGATAGATGTTTGATAGGAAAGAAGAAGTAGTAGACCACACCAGAGCACCCGCCAACCAACCACTGACAGCATCTGATAGGTTAAACATTTACAGCCGGTAGTGAGTAAAGACACCACATTTCTGTGCAGCGAAAACGGACCTTAAAAAGCTTCGTGACTTGAAAAGACTGACTTCTTTCTGTTTTAGTAGCAGTTTTACGGCACTCGCAACTGCATAAGGTCATACGAGCGCCAGAAGATAAGAGGTGTTACGAGAGAGTAACAAACATGAAAAAGAAGAAGGGGAGATAAAGACGATAGATGTTTGACAGGAAAGAAGAAGCAGCAGACCACACCAGAGCACCCGCCAACCACTCACTGACAGCATCTGACAGATTAATCATTTACGATGAGTGAGTAATCACGTTATAGTTTCCAACCCTATGATTTTAACATTTAGTTTTAGTAAGAGTTTTACGGCACTTGCAACACAATAAGGTCATATACGAGTAAATGCCGAAGATTAGAGGTGTTACAAAAGAGTAACAAACACAAAAAAGGAGGAGAGATCGGGACGATAGATGTTTGATAGGAAAGAAGGAGGAAACCACACCAGAGCACCCCCCAACAGCCCACGCTGTTATTCTCTCCCTTTTTACTATGTGTGTACACACACACA